TAAACTGATTCCCTGACGCAGGAAGGGAGGATACATGATTATATACACCTGGAAATCCTAGAGGGTACTGTACGAACTTGCACACGACAATCCTCCTCGAAAGCAAAGACTTGCAGACGATGCACCATCCCCATGAAAAGCGGGGTGTCACTAGCACGTTAAGAGACCATACAATAAGTGTAGGGCCAGTCTGTTACAAACTGCCTCCAGCACACATAAGGGGGATTACAACAACCCTGGCAGTCTTCAAGCTGCACTGGACAGCACTAAAGTCCAGTTCCTGATCAGCGGGCTGTGGCCGTACGTTGTTTGCGTGCAGCCAGCAGCAACAGCCATGGTTGATCAGGTCGCTGATCACCAGAGGCTGGTCACGACGGCCAGCGGGAGGCGTGACCACCGAAACTCTCTCAGGTAAACTCCAGGTAAACAGTGGTACCCCGTGTTTCAAACTTATTTCATTCCAGAATGCTGTTCGAGTGCCAATACCGAACGAATCTGTTCCCATAAGGAATAATGTAAATTAGATTAGTCCGTTTTGGACCCCCAAAAATACACTTACAAACGCACTACACAAATACACTTATATAATTGTTAGAGTTGGGAGCAGTTCGAAACTCGGGCTACCACTGTATATGAAAGCTAAACCAAGGATCCTGTGAGCCTCAGTAGGTAGACAGTGTGCCTGTCTGTAGAGGAACTTTAGCCTGGCATTTGCTTTCTTTACTGTACTGTTCCCTGTCAATTCTCCTGACATGCTTGGATCAGAGTTGATTCCCAGATACTGAAGTGATGGGTTCCCCATTACACTGGACTTTAAAAATATTTACCCTTTTCAGTTTATTTTTTGGGCCAAGGAGTATGGCTTCCTTTTTCCCGAGGTGTAAAGATAATTTGTTGTCTAGCCATTTGCTGCAGGACTCTAGTTCTAGTGACAGTACATTAGCTATACCTTGTGGGTCTTCACCTGACACTAACAGAGCACTGTCATCTGCATACAACAGAATCTTACACTTGACATCTATGGGCATGTCATTCACATAACATATGAACACTGAACAGTAAAGGACCCAGAATGCTACCTTGGGGAACCCCACATACTCTCGGCAGGGGCTCTGATTCTGTGTTGTTGACTGGCAATTTGTTTCCTGTTGCTCAGGTAGGACTTAAACCAATTTACAGAACCTATGCCAATAGCTTGTAGTTTCTTACATAGTATGTCATGGTTGACCATATCAAAGACCTTTTGCAAGTCTAAGGTCACCATACCTGTGAGATTCCCTAGCGACATTTGAGTTCTCGGGTAGCCCATGACTTTCTACAAATAAATACCATTCACCTCTCACCCTATATTAAGACCACTAAGACTACAAATATTTTAAGGTAAGTAATGTGCGTACACTATATGCAGTTTATCGCTCTAGGGCACTTTAAATGTTGTATATTACATGTGGGTGGCATGGCCTGGCTGGCTACCATACCTCCCACACCTGACTTCTTACAATAAACACTACTCACCTCTCACCCTACATTAAGACTACAAATGTTTGTAGTCTTAATGTAAGTAATGAGTGTACTATGTGTGTACAGTGGACCCCCGGTTATCGGCCGGTTTGGTTATCGGCCAACTTGGTTATCGGCCGTTCACTCGGTTATCGGCCGTTTTGGATGCATCCATCTGCCAGCTGGGGCAGCTTGCGCTTCAGTTTGGCTTTGTCTCTCGATGGCTGAGGAAGCTTCTGCTCATACATCCACACATTTCAGTTTACCATTGTTTTTAGTGGTTTTTCTTGCAGTGCAACTGTGAATAAGTAAAGATGGCTCCAAAGAAAGTTCCTAGTAAAGTTCCTGTGGTAAAGAAAGTGAAAAACACCATGGAATTTAAGTGTGAAGTGATAGAAAAGTTTGAAAGTGGTATGAAGGTGATGGAACTTGCCAGTATGTACAGTTGACCCTAAGAGAGTTTTGGAGGAATCACTTCACTATCCTCCATTGCATAAGCCTTATAGGTAAGGCTTGGGAGGGAGTGACTTCCAGGACTTTGAACTCTGCTTGGAGAAAACTGTTGCCAGATTGTGTCCAAGAGAGGGATTTTGAAGGGTTTGAGACTCACCGTGACCCTGACCCTGCCGACCCTGTGGACTCTATTGTGGCACTGGGGAAGTCCCTGGGATTGGAGGTGAGTGGCGAGGATGTGGAAGAGTTGGTGGAGGACCACAGGGAAGAGCTAACCACTGAAGAGCTGCAAGAGCTTCATCTCGAACAGCAACAGACTGCAGCTGAGGAACTTGCTTCAGAGGAGGAGGAGAGGGAGTGAAGGTGCCTTCTTCAGAGATTAAAGAGGTGTGTGCAGTGTGGATTAGGGTGCAAGCTTTTGTAGAGAAACACCACCCTGACAAAGCTGAAACAAGCCATCTGCAACATGTTTAGTGACAAAACCCTGTCTCACCTCAGGGATATCTTATAGAGATGCCAGAAACAGAGCACTCTGGACAGTTATTTTGTGAGACAGGGGTCCAATGACTCTCAAGCTGGTCCTAGTGGCAATAAAAGACAGAGCAGGGAAGTAACCCCAGAGAAGGCTTTGCTACCTAAAGTCTTTATGGAGGGAGATTACCCTTCCAAACACTAACTCCTCCCTCTTTCCTCCTCCCTATCTTGCAGAAGCCAGCATTAGCCTTCAATAAAGGCATGTAATACTCACATAATTGTTAAAATAATTATTTTGTTTTTTGTGAATATTTTTGTTTGGAACGGATTAATTGTATTTCCATTAATTTTTATGGAAAATATTAATTCAGTTATCGACCATTTCGGTTATCGGCTGACCTTCAGGAAAGGATTACGGTGGATAACCTGGGGTCCACTGTATTTTACTTTTTAATTTTTTTAATGCTTAGTTCTATTGCTAATGTAATACAGTGGACCCCCGCATAACGATTACCTCCGAATGTGACCAATTATGTAAGTGCGTTTGTACGTGTATGTTTGGGGGTCTGAAATGGACTAATGTACTTCACAATATTTCTTATGGGAACAAATTCGGTCAGTACTGGCACCTGAACATACTTCTGGAGTGAAAAAATATCGTTAACCGGGGGTCCACTGTATATGTAAGTGTAAACTTATTATCTGGCATTTATATGCATTTATATCCAACGATGTCCACTTTCTGGCACTAGCCTGGAACCTAACCTGCCAAATAAGTGGGGCCCTATTGTACATACCTATTATAAAGTTTTATTGATAAATTATGCACAGTAAGTGGAAAATTATTTCTTTTTCACTGATGGGAAGCACTTCATGGCTTCTCTTAGGTCTTGAATAACTGCCAGCTTCTCTACTTCAGTGCTTTGGGGCCATTATTATGCAAAATTAAGAGATATTTTGGGCCTCAGAAAACCATGGATAACTGAAACCGCAGATACCAAATCTGCAGATATGGGGATTCTACTGTATCCTCAACCACTAGATCAGCAAACTTTAGATCACTAGTTCACAATCTTAAGGCGGTTCATAGCCTGGTGGGCAAAGCTCTCGCTTCACACGTTGAGGGTCCAAATCATCTCAGTAACCCTTCTTCAGTCTTCTGATGAAGGGTGTGGAGCTACTTTTAGTAACTTCACACCTCCTAATTTCCACACATTATTATTATTAACCCTTCGACTGTTTTGGTCATATATATACATCTTACGAGCCAGTGTGTTTGACGTATATACAGTGGACCCCCGGATAACGATCAGCTCCCAACTCGACCAATTATGTAAGTTTATTTTTGTAAGTGCTTTTGTAGGTGTATTTTTAGGGGTCTGAAATGGACTAATCTAATTCACAATATTTCTTATATGAACAAATTCGGTCTATAACGGCACCCAAACAGACTTCTGGATTGAAATAATATCGTTATGCGGGGGTCCACTGTATACTCAAAAATTCTAGCAGCTTTAAATCAAAGAGGAGAAAGCTGGTAGGCCCACATGTGAGAGAATGGGTCTGTGTGGTCAGTGTGCACAGCATAAAAAAAATCCTGCAGCACACAGTGCATAATGAGAAAAAAAAGCTCCTACCATGTTTTTGGATTAAAATGCCGACTTTGAGGTGTATTTTCGTATAGTATTTATGGTTGTATTCTTGTTTTCTTGGTCTCATTTGGTAGAATGTAAGACATATTATAGAAATAGAAGTGATTTTGATTGGTTTTACTATGGAAAGGATCTTGAAATGGAGCTCAAAGTGACAGAAATGTTCGATTTTTGCCGATGTTCAAGAGTAAACAATAAATGTCCAACTAGTCATTCTAATATGCAGTCGCAAATGGGTTGAAGTTATTTATACAGTTATTACAATATTGCAGTAGTCTGCATAACAGTAAATCATCTATTTTTTGTGTGAAAGCAAGAGGATTATAACAGGGGCCTGGAGACATGACTGATGAACATAGAAAATGTTATTTTAGTGCCAGGAATGTCTGCATTGTTCATTCTGGACCCTGTTTTGAAATTGACATATTTTTTAATTTGCATGAATTTGGCCAAAGTGCCAATTTCTGACCACTTTATTGGGCAGTTGAAATCGGTAAATGGATGGTTTCTTGTACTCGATCGATAGAGCAGATGGAGCTATAAAGAAATAGCTATGAGTTTGGTGGACTGGAACAATGGAACTGACCGAAAATAGGGCTCAAAGTGGGCGAAATTGCCGATGCGTAAATGTCACCGAGGTTGCTAACTTCGCGAGAGCGTAATTCTGTAAGTTTTCCATCAACGTTCATACTTTTGGTGTCATTACCATCGAGAAAAGATTCTCTGTCATATCATAAGAAAAAATAATTTTTTTTTTTCAAATATTTTGCGACACCAGGAGGCACCTCAGGATTTGGGGTTGTGACAGTCAAAGGGTTAATATTATGAGTACCCTTGAATATTATGAGATCTGTGATTATAATATGCATTTTTTTTTCCAGTGTCCCTTTGATTTCATTCACAAATTTACCCTCATTACAGGTGAAAGATACAGAGGAAACTCTCACTGTTTGTGGAAAAGAAGAAAATTCTGAGGATTCCTCCAGTGAAGAAGAAAATACTGATACAGATGCAGTATCAAGACTCCTTGCTACTTTTAATACTGTTAACTATAATGCCATTGATAGCAATGAAGATGAAGATGCACTCGATGAGGAAGAGAGTTCTGAAGCAAGCAGTGAAAGTGAAAATGAGGAAGGTAGTGATAAAGCTGAATATGAAGGGAGTGATGGGAATGATGAGGCAGAAATTGAAGACAACATAGATGGTGACGCAGAGGACAGTTTTACCTCTGATGATGTAGAAAGTTTAAGAGATTTACAGGTTTGTGCCAATTTCATTTATATTTTACATGAAATAGCCCCAGACAATCATAAAATCATTGTTGTGTGAAAAATTAACTTTGAACAGGCACTGATCATACCAGGCAAAAGGGTAGTTATTTACACTCAATGATACCTTCAAGGAGGTACCTTGGTGTTGGTGAAAGGAGTCTTTGATCCAAGGAATTGTAGGTACCCTCCCCTCTCATAGATCAATCCTGATTACTGCTCATTACCCAGGCACTGTATGACCAGTATGGGTTTAGCTCTTCCCTATAAATATAAAAATGTTCTCTGATGATATTAATTTTTTTAACACACTGACTGTCTACCACTGAGGTAGAGTGACCCAAAAAAGGAGAAACACTTTCACCATCACTCACTCCACCTTAGATGTCTCTCCAAACTGCTATATCCCCAACCCTTCTTCAGAGTGCAGGCAATGTATTTCCCACCTCCAGGACTGAAATCCAGCTAACCAGTTTCCCTGAAGTGCTTCATAAATGTTACCTTGCTTACACCCCAACAGCACGTCAAATCATAAAAGGCCTTTTGCTTCCACTCCTATCAAACACTCATACATGTCTGATAGATGTCTAAGCCCCTCACATACAAAACCTCCTTTACTCCCACCAACCTTTCCGAGGAGGACTCCTACCCCACCTTCCCTCCACTACAGATTTATAAGCAAGTATTTTGTTTAGGCACAGGTAAATATGAGTACAGTTATCATACATAGTGTAATTTACCTAGAATTATTTTTTTTTTTTTATTATCACACTGGCCGATTCCCACCAAGGCAGGGTGGCCCGAAAAAGAAAAACTTTCACCATCATTCACTCCATCACTGTCTTGCCAGAAGGGTGCTTTACACTACAGTTTTTAAACTGCAACATTAACACCCTTCCTTCAGAGTGCAGGCACTGTACTTCCCATCTCCAGGACTCAAGTCCAGCGTGCCGGTTTCCCTGAACCCCTTCATAAATGTTACTCTGCTCACACTCCAACAGCACGTCAAGTATTAAAAACCATTTGTCTCCATTCACTCCTATCAAACATGCTCACGCACGCCTGCTGGAAGTCCAAACCCCTCGCACACAAAACCTCCTTTACCCCCTCCCTCCAACCTTTCCTAGGCCGACCCTACCCCGCCTTCTTCCACTACAGACTGATACACTCTTGAAGTCATTCTGTTTCGCTCCATTCTCTCTACATGTCCGAACCACCTCAACAACCCTTCCTCAGCCCTCTGGACAACAGTTTTGGTAATCCCGCACCTCCTCCTAACTTCCAAACTACGAATTCTCTGCATTACATTCACACACACATTGCCCTCAGACATGACATCTCCACTGCCTCCAGCCTTCTTGCTGCAACATTCATCACCCATGCTTCACACCCATATAAGAGTGTTGGTAAAAACTATACTCTCATACATTCCCCTCTTTTGCTCCAAGGACAAAGTTCTTTGTCTCCACAGACTCCTAAGTGCACCACTCACCCTTTTCCCTCATCAATTCTATGATTCACCTCATCCTTCATAGACCCATCCGCTGACACGTCCACTCCCAAATATCTGAATACATTCACCTCCTCCATACTCTCTCCCTCCAATCTGATATCCAATCTTTCATCACCTAATATTTTTGTTATCCTCATAACCTTACTCTTTCCTGTATTCACTTTTAATTTTCTTCTTTGCACACCCTACCAAATTCATCCACCAATCTCTGCAACTTCTCTTCAGAATCTCCCAAGAGCACAGTGTCATCAGCAAAGAGCAACTGTGACAACTCCCACTTTATGTGTGATTCCTTATCTTTTAACTCCACGCCTCTTGTCAAGACCCTCGCATTTACTTCTCTTACAACCCCATCTATAAATATATTAAACAACCACGTGACATCACACATCCCTGTCTAAGGCCTACTTTTACTGGGAAATAATCTCCCTCTTTCCTATGTACTCTAACTTGAGCCTCACTATCCTCGTAAAAAACTCTTCACTGCTTTCAGTAACCTACCTCCTACACCATACACCTGCAACATCTGCCACATTGCCCCCCTATCCACCCTGTCATACGCCTTTTCCAAATCCCATAAATGCCACAAAGACCTCTTTAGCCTTATCTAAATACTGTTCACTTATATGTTTCACTGTAAACACCTGGTCCACACACCCCCTACCTTTCCTAAAGCCTCCTTGTTCATCTGCTATCCTATTCTCAGTCTTACTCTTAATTATTTCAATAATAACTCTACCATACACTTTACCAGGTATACTCAACAGACTTATCCCCCTATAATTTTTGCACTCTCTTTTGTCCCCTTTGCCTTTATAGAAAGGAACTATGCATGCTCTCTGCCAATCCCTAGGTACCTTACCCTCTTCCATACATTTATTAAATAATTGCACCAACCACTCCAAAACTATATCTCCACCTGCTTTTAACATTTCTATCTTTATCCCATCAATCCCAGCTGCCTTACCCCCTTTCATTTTACCTACTGCCTCACGAACTTCCCCCACACTCACAACTGGCTCTTCCTCACTCCTACAAGATGTTATTCCTCCTTGCCCTATACATGAAATTACAGCTTCCCTATCTTCATCAACATTTAACAATTCCTCAAAATATTCCCTCCATCTTCCCAATACCTCTAACTCTCCATTTAATAACTCTCCTCTCCTATTTTTAACTGACAAATCCATTTGTTCTCTAGGCTTCCTTAACTTGTTAATCTCACTCCAAAACTTTTTCTTATTTTCAACAAAATTTGTTGATAACATCTCACCCACTCTCTCATTTGCTCTCTTTTTACATTGCTTCACCACTCTCTTAACCTCTCTCTTTTTCTCCATATACTCTTCCCTCCTTGCATCACTTCTACTTTGTAAAAACTTTTACCTAGAATAACCTAGAATAATCTAGAATTTACCTAGAATAACCCCAAAAAAGTCAGACAAAGTGACTTATTTCCATTGGGGTCATCCATCTTTTGCTCCTTCCTCTTTAAATGTCCTGACCACCTTCGATAATCCCTCCTGGATAATTAGTTTATTAACCCCACACCTCCTAGTTTCCAAACTACAAATTCTCTGCATAATATTCACACTTCACATTGCCCTCAGCCGTGTCATCTCCACTGCCTCCAGCCTCCTCCTTACTGAAGCACTTAAAATCCATGCTTCACACCATTATAAGAGCGTTGGTACCTCTATACTTTGTTATCTAATATTTTAAATTATTAATATTTCTCTTTACTAATATTTTTTTATATTACAGCATTCAAAGAAGAACATTGGGATAATAGATGAAGAGGAGGAGGAAGATTCATCACAAAATGAAGATCCATTTTCAAAACATTTTGAAAAGAACTTAAGTGAAACTGTTGCAGAACAGGTAAAAAATAAAAAAAAATGGATATCGTCTTTTTGTAAGTGGCCTACATTAGGGAGAATTAAAGTAGAAGTTCCAAATGTTGAAATTGAACCTCCCAAACTTTTATTGCTAGCAGATGATAAAACTGAGAACTGTTTACCTAATATTGGAGTTACTCCTCTTCCTCCTGAACAGAAAAGAAGTCATCTAGATAACTTTCACATTAGGAAAATGTTGTGCAAGAACTTACCACATGCAAATGTCAATGGCAGTTCCAAATGCCCTACAAGTTTGACAGATTTACAAAAAGAATTATTGAGTATTTTGTCTAGTTATTCTGATCTCTATTTCCCTCAAGCCACTTACAAACATTGGGAAGAAGTGAGGACCATTTATGCAGTTCATGCAATTAATCACATTCTCAAGACCAGAAAAAAGGTAATTAATCATACAGCTAAAATCAGTAAAGCGGTAACTAAGAAGAAATATGAAGCTTCAGACAGCTTTCGGGACCAAGGATTTGCAAGACCAAAAGTACTTATTCTTCTTCCATTCAAACACTCAGTTTACAGGTATGTTCTCTAGATCAGGCGATCCCAGCCCTTATTTGCCCAATATCCTGTTTCAATTATCCTCGTGTGTGACCTTATTCGTTATCTCCATCATGACACACAGTGAACTCTCCAAGGTGATATCGAATAAATTCATTCCATGTCAGATTCCACAACTAAATGGATACACTAAACAATTTTTACTCATAAAGAATCAATGCTTAATGAGATATTAAAATGACCTTCAGGACCATGTAAGGACATATATAAGGTAGATTGTTATTTTACAACTGTCTATTTTAGGTAGTAGGTTGGTAGACAGCAACCACCCAGGGAGGTACTACCGCCTGCCAAGTGAGTGTAAAATGAAAGCCTGTAATTGTTTTACATGATGGTAGGATTGCTGGTGTCTTTTTTCTGTCTCAATAAACATTCAAGTTTCAGGTTCGTCTTGTAATTGCTACTTCTACTTACAACTTAGGTCACACTACACATACATGTACAAGAATTATATTTATACACACCTCTGAGGTTTTCTTTGATTATCTTTCATAGTTCTTGTCTTGTTTATTTCCTTTATCTCATGGGGAAGTGGAAAGAATCTTCCTCCATAAGCCATGCGTGTTGTAAAGGCGACTAAATGCCGGGCAATGGCTAGTAACCCTTTCCTGTAAATTACTAAATTAAAAAGAAGAAACTTTTCTTTTGGGTACCTGTGGCGTGGATTGGCAGATGTTGAAAAAAAAATGTTTTGAAGTGTGCTTGTCTGTTTAACTAAACCAAAGTGTGGTCTTGGTTTAGTTGCAATGAGAACGTATCCAGGGTTGTTTCAGGGTTTAAATTGGTTAAAGAAATACATGTCATTGAAATGTTGAAGAGGACTCAATTATATAGTTTTAGAAAATCAATTATTAGCAATGGGATTATTTCCCCTTCCTGTGAAGATATGAAGGTATGGATTCTGGGAAGTTTACAATCTGTGGTGGCAGTTTGATCTACAATTTATCTTTTCTAATGGAGTTTCCAGGGAAATACCTTATGGTCAGGTAATTATGGACTTTTTCCTGAGAAAGATTTGTAATAAGATACATAGTTATTGAAAGGAGGAATAATATCTCAAGGTAGTGTAATTAAATATTTTGTTATATGTGGTAAGGTTGAAAGGAGCCAGGAGTTACTGTCTAAGGATGAATATGAAACTTTATTGTTGTACTATGGTAGATGTGGTTATCGTCATAAAAGGAAGGTTAGGTACACTTGAAATAATGGCAACTACAACATTGAAAGTGATATAAAAATTGGGTTATTTAGTTTTTTATTCATTTTTATGGGAAAGTGGAAGTTCGTAAGACGGGAAGAGGGATTTAATGTGGGAACAGGATTTGATAACTATGTTAGGAGTATTTTAACAGGTGTTAAGGACAACTAGAGTTTAGTTGTTTAGTAATGAGAGAATGTCAATGTTTGTTGAATTGAAGCTCTTTCAAATTTATGAAAAAGTCAAAAAATTGAGTATGAGTTCCAGTAGAACTAGAGTTCATGAGTGTTAAAAGATTAGTTGGGAGATGGCAAGTTTGTGTGAGAAATCTGAGGTTAATGCATTGGAGACAGGGGTATAAAGCAAGGCCAAGAACACATTTTGGCATTAGAAAGGCAGTGTAAGTTGTGGAGGACATGATGTTTATGTGAGGTGTAGTGCTACTTGAGGTCATAAAGAAGTTAAGCATAATTGATCGTTTGTGCTTTTTCTGAAACCAAACTGGCAAGTGTGGAAGTATATGATGAGGCTAGGAGAGAGTATAGTATGCTTTGGATTAAATTTTCAGAGATGTTCGATAACAGTGGCAAGTAGATTTAGGTTGTTTATATGTCCGGAGTATGGGATCATCTTGTTATAATGGCGGTACCATGTTGTCTTGAGCACTGTTGGGAATGTGTTAGATTTCTAATGATTTGCTCAACAATATTGAATGGTGGATTAAGCAAGTTTCTGACTTGTTCTTCAGTGATTTATTATTCAAGGCCTCAGTAGAGTGAATGGAGCCAGAAGTGGAAATTGTGGCAACTTCCAACAAGGGTAAGTCACTCGCTTGAAGCATGGTGTTGGGATTTTGCTAGAAAGGCTTGGCTAATCAGCAGGCTAATGTAAAGTTCATTGGGTTTAGTTAGGACAGTTTTTGTTTGGTAGCTTATGAGAACCCTGGTTGTGTATGTGTGTTCAGGGTTTCTTATAATACTTCTATTTTATTGAACCCAAGACATAGTTGTTATAGACTCCATATTAGTGGGTAAGTACAGTTGGCAATCTTTGGGTTTGTACTAGGTACATCTCAGTCTTTACTGTTTTTCTAGTTAAATTTTCTAAATGGACTGAGGATGCATTTGATTATTTATGGACTGTTAATCTCTTGCTGTGATACAGTTAGTATTTAATAGGCAATGTTTATTGTAGAGCTTTGTATTTTTGCAAAAAATATGACCATTTTGAATATCCCTGTCATTAATAAACTCTGTGCCAGGCAGTGTCATTTATGTGTAGTGAATGATTTAATAATGTCTCATCATGGATGAAAAGAGATCACACTGGTCATGGGATTTATATTGTTGGATATAGGAGGTGGAAAGCGATTAGTGAATGTCTGTGATTATCCTGCTTTGAGGGAGTATTATTAGTTCTTGATGTGATCACTTTGGATGCACTCTTCTCAGTGTTGCTTTGTTGTTGGGTGGGTGGGCAAGCGTATAACTTGAATTTGGTAGTTAATTGGTTAGATTTGGTTTTTTAATAATTTTCATTTCATGATTTTATTTAATATTTCAGATTAGTGGAGACAATGAAACATTATTATTTGAGGTAGACTGCAACGTCGATCATAGCAGATTTCAGGAAGACTTTGTCCTGGAGGGAAGAAACAGTGGTCAACAAACTAAACAGACCAGAGGATTTCCAGGAAATTTAGGGTGAATAGTGGGACTTCAAAATTGGGTCAAACTAACAAAAGTTTCAAGGTAAGATTTATTATTAGCCCATCCTCTTAATACAGATGTCATGGAACTCTTTAAAAAAAGTCAAAGGGTGATTTTTGACAGAACCTGAGCAGTTGAAATATGACATCAGTAGTTACATGAGCTGTTAAGCATGGATCTGTTTTGATGAGCGATTTTATGTCTTTAATTATAGTTATTCTGTACCTAACTAATCCAGTCCTAACCTTGAAAAGGGCTGCATAGCTTTATGATAATAGCTGATTTACACAAAGTTGAAGAGATTTCACTTTATGTAATTTTTCAGAATTGGTGATTAATGAAGTATTCCTTTGATGGTACTATAAGCATTATTTCTCATGATGAAAAGCTGAATTATTAACAATTGATTTGTAGGATATTGTAATAAGCTTTTCTTTATACCATTCAATTCATAGACCTGTATCTAGTTCATAATGCTGTTAAAAATAATTAATAAAATTAAATTATTCAAATATTGTAAATTCATGGTTATGGATATTTGGTTGGGTTTTGTATTTGTAAGTAAAATTGAGGCCTTTTAAAAGTGAAGGTAGTTTATGTATGGTTACTCTTAGAAGAGATTTAACAACTGTCTTTCCACATTACAAACAAAGGGATATAATAGACCTGGAAAATGCTCTCGAATACCAGGCTCACGTAATTTGCCGAGTCCAAGAAATTGTACAAGTTAAACCAAATAAACCTCTTTAATCTAAAACAGTAAATGACTAAATGTTTCCACTATATATAAAGGTCTTAGCCAGATATAAACTTGCATTCCTTGTGGTTATCTACTCCCACTACTATTTTTTTATGCTTACCTTTCAGTGTCCAGATCCAAATTAACATTCTTCGGTGTACACATTTAAAAAAAAATTTTTTTTATTCTCAATTGGTTTGGAATTCTTATCTGAAGGTAATGACACCAAATGTATGAAGTTGTGGAACATAGAGAATTTGCAGTGCACAAAGGTCGCGTGTGGTGCAATTTACATGTCGGAGTGTTATCACCCAATTGAATCCTATTTTAAACATTACCATGTTTATTTGACCAAATTTCTTAGCTAGTTTGCTTTTGTATCCATCTATTGTGACACAAGAAAACCGCTCCTTCGATTATAGACTTCCTTTTAAGGGCACAGAATTGTAATTTGGCCAATTTTACAAGATTCAAAAATTAAATTTAAAATAAGATTTAAAATAACACTTTGACATTCCAGATCAAAAAATTTCCTGTTCATTAACATGTCTCAGGCTCCTGCTTAACTTGGATTCCAGTTTGAATTCATCACACAAAAAAATCAAAGATTTAAGATGTCATTGGATAATGAAATATAACCGAATGATTGATCATGGTTTACTGCATCCAATAATTGAGTCGACTTATTAAAATGCTTACAACCAGCAGGGGTGTGGGATGCCTTCCCATCCTAAAAAAATAGCAAAAATCATATCTGTACTTTGAGCCTCATTCAAGCTACTCTCCTGTCAAAAATCACTAATATCTTAGTAAAACCATCCTAGAAACACTTCCGAATACATTTTAACTAAACACAAGGCAGAATTTTGCTTTTCTATCTCACCACGGGTCAGGATTTTTTTTGAAGTGTGCAGTTGTTGCACAAACTCACTCTTTATATCTTTGGGCAGAATTACACCATCAACAGCTTGTCTGAGGGAGCTGTCCTCAAACTTAGATCTATGTGAGTAACCAGTTTCTTATATGGAGATAGCTTCTGAACAGTTTTATTTAATACGCCTCTCTTCATTTACGATGGAGATAGGGCCCAGACCCGTCGGTAAATGAATTTCATCGTTAACGAGGAATACCACACCCCTTACTTACTTCAAAGTTTTTCACCACCCAGAAATGTAAAAGTTTGTTGTATGTTTGCTGGAATTTCTTCAATTGTTATTATTAACCGTAATACAACATGAAATAGGTCAATGACTTTCGAGATATTACAGGAACTGTGATAGTTATTCTTGGATTTTTTTTTTTGTGAGAAAATAGCACTTTTTCAGTCTTTGCATAATTTTCTCGGTCACTTTTTTTTTTTACACTCTCCGCCTCCACCTTCAATACCTCTCTCTTTTATTAATTTGGGCATCTTTATCATGCTTCTACATTATTTATGTTATACCTAATTATATTCTGGAATAATAGAGAGATAACATTTATTGATAGTAAAGTATAATTATACAAATTGTATAGTCGTTGTGAAGATCATTGGGAATCATGAATCAACTTTGCCTTTCGGCAAAAAACTAAATTTTTCCCCTTCCAGGGTCTGTTCATGATATTGGCAAGGTTTGTATAATAGCAGGCCGGATATGCGGGCTGAATTCACTTTAATAAAACAAAGGTCAAAATTTTACTGGAAAACTGACAAAATAATCGCTTTCGTGAATTTTGCTGTTGTCGCGATTTTATGCCTCAGCAATTTCATCCATTTTGAGTCATTTTAGGCCAATTCCATTTTCCACTTAACAATTCGTATGTTATTTCACTAGTACATGTATGTCTTCCTTCATTTGATTGATACATAGAAACTCCTCCTTAACTACAATTTGAATTACCCAATTAGTGATCAGAAATTGGTAATTTGGTAAATTTCACACAAAATTCAGCAATGCCTGTTTCAAAATAGAGTCCAGATCTCAGTAGTAGTAACCAGTTACCAGTAACCAGTGTACCAGTAGATGACTCACTACCAACCGTCTCTGCCTGAGTCACTGTCTGTATTCATATTGTGCTGACCACAGCAGTATTCAAAGACCCCCTCACATATGGGTACTGTGGGCGGCCAGTCAGTGTTACGAGAGTGAGCAAGGAGACAAGGTTACGGCTGTTAGGGCGCTCCCCACATTATCCGTAATATACGTACTACCAGCCTACGTGAGTATTACTTTACCCTATCCACGTGTTCGAACCCCACATGATACAGAATAAACAATGCAGACATTCCTGGCACTAAAATAACATTTTCTCTGTTCAATATTCACATCTCCAGGCCTCCCTTATATTATGCTTGCTTTCCATTTTTAATTTTATTCACACAAAAAATAGAAGATTTACTTTATGTAGACTACTGCATTATTGTAATAATTGTATAATAATGTCAGTGCATTCCTAAATGCATATTAGACTGGCCAGTTGGACACGCATTTGTTGTCCAATGCGTGTCCAACTGGCCAGTCTAATATGCACAAGTGACGTCATTTGTATACTCTGGAATATCGGCAAAAATCGAACATTTCTGCTACTTTGAGCTCAGTTTCAAGCTAGTTTCAGTCCTGAAACCAATCAAAGTCATTCTATCAAATGAGACCAAGAAATTGAGAATACAGCCTTCTTCTTTCATCAAAAGGCTGTTTCCCACTGAGGCAAGGTGGCCCAAAAAGAAAAACAAAAGTTTCTCTTTATAACTTTAGAAATGTATTCAGGAAAAGGGGTTACTAGCCCCTTGTTCCCGGCATTTTAGTCGCCTCTTACGACACGCATGGCTCACAGAGGAAGAATTCTCTTCCACTTCCCCATGTGTGAGAATACAACCAAAAAATCCATTTGAAAATACACCACAAAGTTGCTGTTTTAAGCTAAAAACACTGTTGCAATTTACCACTCACAGTTTATCTGAGTGAGCTGAGCTCATGGCGTTGTATGACGGGACTGACACTGGCTTCAAAGTCATAGTACAACGGGACCAACCCTGAAAGGGTTAAAAGGAAAAATCAGAGGTTAGGTCTCATTCCTGCATGCACAACTAGCTGGGTAAACACACATTGTTTGCTTTTAAAAATTTTTCAAGTTATTCCTCTTTACTGTTTTTCAGCTGTATGCAGACTTTTACCACTCTGACATCATAATAGCATCACCTCTTGGCCTACGATATGTAGTGGGAAACTCAGTCAAGACTGATGCACAGACAGATTTCCTTTCATCCATTGAAGTTCTTATTTTGGATCAGGTATGTAATCTTATATTGTACAGCACAAACTCTTCAAGGGGTGATGCAGATTCTGATGAAAGATACTTTTTTTTTTTTAACAAGTTGGCCATCTCCCACCGAGGCAGGGTGACCCAAAAAGAAAGAAAATCCCCAAAAAGAAAATACTTTCATCATCATTCAACACTTTCACCTCACTCACACATAATCACTGTTTTTGCAGAGGTGCTCAGAATACAACAGTTTAGAAGCATATATGTATAAAGATACACAACATATCCCTCCAAACTGCCAATATCCCAAACCCCTCCTTTAAAGTGCAGGCATTTTACTTTCCATTTCCAGGACTTAGTTATCTTTCATTCCCTAGATACTGTATGACCCTTGTGGATTTAGTTTTTCCCCATAAATATGTTAATGCTGTGCAGTATAAATTATTTTGACAGGTACAGTTGACCATTGGATAATGGTGTACCAAGTTTCTAAAAACAGCATGTAATAAAAAATGCGTGTAAACTGAATTGAAGAATATACGGAAAAAAATAGGGTTATACTCATTAGACCCCAAAAAAGCCAAACAAATTTTGTGTAATCTCGAAACTGTAAAAAACATTGATAGTAATGTAATTGTAAGCTGATGTGATGATGTGTGTCAGTCAAAGACCCCATATCCACATTTATGATAGCAGATGGAGGTGTCTTATTGTTTGGTTGTCCCATTCATTGGAACTGTATGGGGGTTATGAAGGTGGGGTTAGTGGTTGGAGTGTGTACAGGAGGGGTTACAGAAGTTGGGGGGAGGGGGTTAGGTGTGTGTGTGGGATGTAACCAGGCTCCTCTAGCCTTTGGAACTCCTGCCAAGCACAACTCTCATGCTTTTGGATATGGGACTTCCATGGTCCTGTAGTTCAGGTTGATAGCTGGTGGCTAGCCCCTGACTCGTCCTCACTTCTATACTGACTCGTGCACTGCCACATCTCCCCATCTCCTAGGACCTGGCTCTAGCTGTTTCTTGACTCTGTGTGGTGTACCCATAGACAATAAACTGCTACTGAGTCTGACTTGTGCTAACCGATGACCCAGTACAATTGGTGGCAGGACACCAGTATAAGGGGACTGAACAGTGGATGGGTGGGGGTGGGAGTTGGAGGCTGGTGTTGGGAGGTGTAAGATGCCAGGCAATGGAGGGGTGTGGGGGGGGATGGAGACTGGAAGCAACAAGGTGGTGTGATGGTGACCACGTGGGTGGCAGTGTTGGTGGCCCGGTGTGGGAGGTGTGGATGATGGGTGGCTAGGTGGATGAGTGTGCAGTTGGTGGTGGAGGCAGTAATGTGGGTGGTCAGTGACTTCAGTGACTAGGTATGTGGATGGTGTGTTTGGGTGAAAAATTGAGTAAGGTATGGATGAGAGCATGGGGCTGGGCAAGGTGAGGTCATGAGGTAGTGGAGGAACAGTGTAGGTGTAGGCATGTGGCCATGGGGGAAGGGGGAATTGTATAGGCAGGTTATGTGGGTGGAGGCATGTGGTTGTGGGGGATTTGTATAGGTGGGAATATATATATTTGTCATTCATTTGTCATTTTCATTTCACTACCTAGGTTACTCATTCCACAGGCTCATCTTTGCCTCATTCTTAATTGTGTGAATTGATGTCTCATTCAGGCCATAGGCTCGTGCCATCTTCATTACACGTATGCCACTATTAACCTTGTCTAATATCTTGATTTTCTTCGAAATGTCAAGACTTTTACAGTTGTGCTTCTTTGCAGTTCCAGGATCACTTGCATTCCTCTTGATGCCATAGCTACTCTCCAGAGGTGAACTGGGATGATGAAAAGATCAAAAGTCGATTCACTATCACAGGCTTAGTGTGGTACTGGGCATGTACAAATGAAGCACTGGGTTAAGGAAGTCATGTACATTATGTAGGTCTCCCCCACGAGACGTTGAGAAAAGAATGTGGCATGTGCCACATTTTCCCTTTCATGTACTCCACTGTATTAACCAATTTTTATGGTGTGTTTACTGAAAATATGCCACAGTTTCGCCACCGTGTTATAGTGAAAACATGTTAGCAGATCGCATTGTATCTAACATTCTACTGTATTTTGAAAAGTCGAAAATGATCCAGTGAATGATATATTAACCCTTTCAGGGTCCAAGGCCCAAATCTGGAGTCACGCACCAGTGTCCAAGAATTTTCAAAAAAAAAATTTGTTATTTTTTCTTATGAAATCGTAGAGAATCTTTTTGTGAAGGTAATAAAACAAAAAGTACGAAATTTGGTGGAAAATTGACGAAATTATGCTCTCGCGAATTTTGATGTGTCAGCGATATTTACGAATCGGCGATTTTGCCGACTTTGACTCCCATTTTAGGCCGATTACATTATTCCAATCAACCAAATCTTAGCTATTTCACTAGTATTACTTCTATTCTATCGATTGAGCACAAGAAATCGCCAAGTCAACTGTTTCAACTACAAAATAAAGTGATCGGAAATTGTTAATTTGGCCAATTTAACACAAAGTTCAAAATATTCCAATTTCAAAATAGGGTCCAGAATGAACAATGTAGGCATGCCTGGCACTAAACTAACATTTCCTCTGTTCATTTAGTTATGTTTTGAGGCTTTACAAATAAATTCCATTTTGATTTTTTATTCACATAATGAATTTTTATTCACACCAAAAAATAGAAGATTTACTGTTATGCAATACTGTAATAATTGTATAAATATCATCACCATATTTGTGAATGTATATTAGATCCACCAGCTGACGTGTATTAGACGTGTGAGGTCGTTTGTTTACTCTTGAATATCGGCAAAAATTTAACATTTCCGCTACTTTGAGCTCAGTTTCAAGCCATTTCCAATGCTAAAAACCAATCAAAATCATCTCTATTTCTGTAATATGTCTTCCATTCTATCAAATGAGACCAAGAAATCGCAAACACAACTATAAAAAACATACGAAAATACACTGCAAAGTTGCTGTTTTAATCGAAAAATCATGATTTCATTTTTTTTCTCTCATTATACACAGTGTGCTGCAGGATCTGTTTTATGTGGTGCACACATACCACATAGATGTATTCTCTCATATCTAGGCCCAAATGTACCACTCACAGTTTATCAGAGTGAGTGAGCTCATGGCGTAGATCTACGGTTTGGACCCTGAACGTAAAGCCGTAGATCTACGGGACGGACCCTGAAAGGGTTAATGGTGACATATTCTGTTCCTTGTGTAAATGATAATAGCCTTGAACTAATGGATAAGAACAGTTCTTTATAAATGATGGAAAGCTATGTTGTTATAAATTTTTTATATTTTGGGCACATAGATCCCACTCAGTTTGAAGTAAGTTTCGGGAAAAAGGGAAAAGGGGGCCCCCCAAGTTTCTGTCTGTACCCCCAGGAAATCATCAAAAGGGGAATGAAAAAAGTTTGGGTAAAATGGTGACCCTCCATGTGAGGACCTGTGTGACCACAGACTGGAAGATTTCACTTTATTAATGTTAACCCCATTGATAGTTTTCGCTTTAGAGAAATTTAATTTTTTCTCATTTTTTTTATTATTTTTTTTTTTTTATTTTTCACACCCCCGATTCCCACCAAGGAAGGGGGGCCCCGAAAAAAAAAAAAATTTTCCCATCTTTCCCCCCTTTCACTGCCCTTGCCAGAAGGGGGGCTTTACACTACTTTTTTTTTAAACTGCAACATTAACACCCCCCCTTCAGAGGCGGGCACTGTCCTTCCCCATCTCCAGGACTAAAGTCGGCCCTGCGGTTTCCTAAAACCCCTTTCCCTTAAATTTTAAACTTTGCTCACACCCCAACGCACGTCAAGTTTTAAAAAAACCATTTGTCCCCATTCACTCCTTTAAAACAGTTTCTTTGCCTGCTGGAAGTCCAGCCCTCGAAAACACAAAACCTCCTTTACCCCCTCCCCCCAAAACCCTTCCTGGGCCCACCCCTACCCCCCCTTCCTTCCACTACAAAATGTTTCCACTTTGGGAACATTCTTTTTCGCCCCATTCTCTTACATGCCCCCAAAACCACCTCAAAAACCCCTTCCTCACCCCCTCTGGAAAAACATTTTTTGGTAATCCCGCACCCCCTCCCTAATTTTAAAACTAAAAATTCTCTGAAATTATATTCACCCCACACATTCCCCCTCAGAAAAATGACATCTCCATGCCTCCCCCTTCCCCTCGCTGCAACATTCATCACCCCGTTTACACCCCATTAAAGACCCTTTTGGGTTTAAAACAATACTCTAAACTTCCCCCCTCTTTGCCCCCAAGGGAAAAAGTTCTTTGTCCCCACGGGATCCTAAGTGCCCCACCCTCTTTTTTCCTCATAAATTCTATGTTCACCTCACCCTTTTCTTTCCCCCAAACTGCTGACACGTCCACTCCCAAATTTTCGAATACTTTAAACCCCCTCCATACTCTTTCCCCCCAAAATTTGATATTCAATTTTTTCATCCCCAAATTTTTTTTTGTTTATCCTCAAAACCTTACTTTTTCCCTGTTTTTCCCCTTTTAATTTTTTCTTTTTTTTGCCCCCCCTCCCCAAATTTTCACCCACCAATCTCTGCAACTTCTCTTCAGAATCCCCAAGAGCACAGGTCATAAAGAAAAAGAGCGCTGGGGACAACTCCCCCCCTTTGGGGTTGTGTTTTTTTATTTTTTAAAACTCCAGGGTTTTGCCAGACCCTGGGCATTTTTTTTCTCTTAAAACCCCATCATAAAATTTTTAAAACCCAACCAGGTGACATCCACATCCTTGTTTTAAGGCCATTTTTTATGGAAAAAATTTCCCTTTTCAAAATTTACTCTAATTGGGCCCTCACTATCCTCGAAAAAAATCTTCATGCTTTCAAAAAACCTACCCCCTTACACCTACACTTGAACCCATCCCCACATTCCCCCCCTACCCACCCTTTTCATACCCCTTTTCCAAACCCTTTTAAATGCCAAAAAAGCCCTTTTTTGCCTTATCTAAATTTTCCTGTTA